AGTAAGATATTTAGCTTCTAGTAGTAGTAGTAAGATATTTAGCTTCTAGTAGTAAGATATTTAGCTTCTAGTAGTAAGATATTTAGCTTCTAGTAGTAGTAGTAAGATATTTAGCTTCTAGTAGTAGTAGTAAGATATTTAGCTTCTCACAATCATATTGCTTGACAAAAATAAAGACAGATCTGTTTCAAAGCCAACGCGCAGCGTCACACACAAGCGCCGGAGGCACGTCCTCAAAACAGCAGCTACCTAGCTTTTAGCAGCCGAAATAGCTTGCTGTCATGGCAGTCTTCAGCGTAATGGAGAGTAATAGTGAGGGGTGAAAATTTGGCACAATGTCTTTACACCCATGTAGCAACATTTTGTCAATATCATAAAAACATTTTTCATTGGTTTGTTTTGGGAATTTTTTATTTTAAGAAGGTTGGGGGGGTTCCTTAAAATTGCATTTGTCCCCCAAAGCATCATTCAAAATAAGCTGCTAAAACAAAACTAATAGAAATATGCAGTTGTCTTGTTGACCAAAGTTTTGTAGTGATTAATACAATACATAGAAATTACTTGAAAAAAGAAAAAGCCTCTCCATGTTTTCAAAGTCCTCAATTTTGAGATAACTGTTACATAATATACTTCTCGGTTGTCGATGAAAGATGATTTTCTCCCATTCCAATTATCCGTCCCCTGTGAACATGCTGAACACAGTGATAAAACAAAACATTGCGTGTATGGAGAATCTAAAGAGGCGGAGATTTCAGTCGCACTTTCCCATAATTCAACAACTGAATCTTTACTTTGAAAACGAAAGTGTCAATCTAACCGACAGACAAACCACACTGGTATCAAGGCATGGTCAAGTCCAGCTGTTTCCTGCAGTAAAGTTGCCCCTTAACAAATAGTTCACAAGTTGATGAAAATCAAACAGACGCACCAGACGTTGTTACAACTCGTGGACCTCACATGGCATTTTTCCGCAGGTTCGTGAATTTTTATTGAATTTTTGTTTTTTAGCTCCCCACCTTTCATGCTATTAAAGAACTCATTTCTGTGAGGAGTTAAGCGAAAAACTTTGATTAAAGGCACACAAAAAATGTAATTTTTCGGTTTCCACGGACTCTCAAGCTGAGGAAATGACTCATCTTTGGAGGCCATTTTTTCATTAATTTTACCCCTGCAACCAGGTGACCGGTGACCCCACCTCCTTCATTCACAAATATCTCAACTTGTATTCAAGATAAATGGATATTTTTTTTCATCCAAAGCAAGACAAATGAACAAGCTTTAAGCAGATACCAATAACTCTACATGTCCAACAACTGATGAAAGAGCCTGACTCTACCGCGTCATGACATATATGGCTTTCTATATAAGGAACTTTCTCCAAAACCCAAACAGAACCTGCCAACAGAAAACAGAAAGAACTTTTCAGGTCACAAAATATATGGCCAACAAGCTTCAACTGCTGGATATGGCCAACAAGCTTCAATTGCTGGATATGGCCACTCGTTGGTGTGTCCGTTCTGGAAGCCCCCTGTATTAAGTAACCCTGCCCCAAAGTGCTTTTAGTTATTTAGTTTCAATAGAGTTTTTAACGGCGCTTGCAACTGCATAAGGTCATATGAGCGCCAAGGGGTGGATGTCAACAGAGAAGTCTTTACAGGGAAT